TCAAAACTTTCTTAACATTATGTATTTTTATATACAAAAAAGATTTGTTATATTTTGATAAGATTTTTTTTGTTATATCATATAGAGATATTATTAAAAAGATGACATTGTTATTTTGCGTGATATATATTATTTTTATCAATAATTTTTAAATAATGATATAATCATAACTAAAAAAATAACATATTTAAATAATAAAATCGTATTCGAAGAGATGGTTGATAGCTGTCATATCGTCACGATCATAACAAAGTATATAAATTCTGAGTTACCAATCACTATTGATTTTAGTAATAAACTTTAAATTTACCGTACAACAACTATATCGGGTTGATGCAACACATTTTTGTTTTGATTAATTGACTCTTTATTTTACATACAAAATTGTACAACAGCTTTCATTATACAACGACAATGATGATGCCAAACATTTTAATTTATTTAAATTTAAATTATATGTTTAGTACCTAAATTATTTATTTTTATATTGTTTTGACACTTCAACTTTCATTTTTTTAAATTATACTTAACATTTACATTTTATTTCGTTTAGAACTTTACCGTTATAAACTTAATGGAATTATTGTACATGACACTTTTTTATGGATCAAATTTATCATTCATCACTCAATTATTTTTTCATTTCTATTTTGATCACTAAAATTTAATTTTTTTAATTTAATCACTCAACTTTCAATTATTCTGATTTTAATCACTCTAACTTTTAAATTTTATTTTTATTTTAATTATATACTAATAAAATAATAATAAAAATATCATATCACAAAAAATATTAATAAAATAAATTAGAATGATTAAAACATGAACGATTTGAAAATTGAGTAGTTAAATTAAAAAAATTTAGACTTTAATGACTAAAATAAGAGTGAGAAGCTAGTTTAGTGATGAATAATATAACTTACCAATAAAAAATGTCACGTGTAACATTTCTATTAAGTTTTAACACGAAATATTAAATAAAATTTAAACTAAATGTTAAATATAATTTTTAATAAAATTTAATTACTAAAATAAAATAAAAGTAAAAGTAAGATTGGAGAAAATCACAAGTCATTGTCCTTGGATTCTTAGCGGAGCTATTATTAGCGTTATCTTCACCTTACAGAATTATTTTAAAATAAGACTAAAGTTTAACCAACCAGTGTGATTATGATATTTTTTAGTAGTTAACATATTATATAATAATAGTGTATCTAATAAAATATTTATAATCTTATATGACTAACTTTTTAATAAAAAGAAGATAAACTAATATGACTATTTTAATACATTTAGTTTTTTTATTAATTTAATTAAAGATTACCAGTCATTTCTGTGTTTAATCACTATCCTTACAGCATCGGAAATATGAATCCTCACAATGTCAAAGTAATATATTACTGTTTACTGCAACAGATACGCATATAAACCTCTCTTTCCTTCTCTTCTGCGGTTCCAAACTTTCACCGTCTTCAGGGTATTCCTTTTGTCTGGGGATCCAGAGTGATCGGATTGGAGCAAAGATCAATAAACAGATGAAGATTCAGTGTGATGTGTGTGACAAAGAGGAGGCCTCCGTGTTCTGCACCGCAGACGAGGCCGCCTTGTGCGACGCCTGTGACCACCGAGTTCACCACGCCAACAAGCTTGCCTCTAAACACCAACGTTTTTCCCTTCTCCATCCTTCCTCTTCGAAACAAGTCCCTCTTTGTGATATCTGTCAGGTATTTTTCACTTTCTGCTCTCTGGGTATTTTTGTACTTTTTGTTACTGTGTACATGTGGGAATTGGACCTACTCGGTCGATTGATTTTAATTTTCTTCCCCCCCCCCCCCTTTTTAAGGAGAAACGAGCTTTCTTGTTCTGTCAGCAGGACAGAGCAATTCTGTGCAGAGATTGTGATGTTCCAATTCATGCGGCAAACGAACACACCCAGAAACATAACAGGTTTCTTCTTACAGGGGTTAAACTCTCTGCAACGTCTTCTCTTTATACATCCTCCTCTTCATCATCCATCGCTTCCTTATCCAACGTTGCTGATTCTGTTCCTGAATTTAAGTCTCCACTATTGGTCAAGAGCCCTATCTCTGCTTCTCCAGCAAATTTCAATCCACCTTCACTTGCTAAATCCTCATCAATCAGTTCAACAACAGCAGCAGCAGCAGTAACAAATAACAAGAGCACCAGAGATAACCTGCTGGCAACTGAAGACGGTGGGTCAACAAGTAGCATATCTGAGTACTTGATAGAGATGCTTCCAGGGTGGCACGTCGATGATTTCCTTGATTCCACTTTACCTCCCTTTGGTTTCTGTAAGGTTTGCAGTGATCTATGGTTATCCTTTTCTTTCTTACTATTTAGCTTTGACAATTTGTTTATTTAATTATGCGATTTCTTTTGGATCTGAATATTTTTTTTTCGTTTTTGGATCTAATTTGTTCAGAATGATGATTGTATGTTGCCGTTTCTTGATACTGATTTCGAGAGCAATATGAATACTTTCTCACCAGAAAGTTTAGGGCTTTGGGTTCCCCAGTCATCATCTTCCCTGTACCCTCCCCAATATTCTTCACAAACGGGAGGGCAAATCAAGGAAACAAAGGAAATCATGGGGATGAAAGCTAACAGGAGATGGACAGATGATTCCTTTATAGTACCACAGATCAGCCCTGAATCCAAGAGATCTAAGCGTCTCTGGTAGGATCAGGTCTTCAAAATGTTGTGTTGTAAGTTTGACATGGGTTCAAGTTCCCATCTTTACCTTATCTTTGTATCTTCTCATTTCTTGCCAAGTTAGATTCCAGTTTAATGTTTTCCACCCCCTAATAAGCCCAGTTTCGTTTATAGAACTTCCTTATTTCCCCCCCACTTACAGGATGCAAGGATTTCATAAATATTAATGAAAATATTATTTCCATTTAACAAAACTGGAATCTAATCTAACAGCAGGGATGACATATCGTTATAAAAAAAACTAAAGAGAACATATGAGTGAACTGTCTCAGCATACAAATCATGGGAACAAAGTAAAAGGATCTCTCCCTTTCTTTTTGGTCGGGGAGATGTATCTTGTCAGTGCACCAATAGGAACGGATTGTAATAGGAAGGGAATAACAAGAAGAAGATAGATGATAGTTACGATAAATTGATGATGGGTTAGGATAAGGAGAAGGAGGGGTAGGACCAGCGGAGAGGTAGCTTGTCCTAAAGCAGATTGCAGTATCGGCTGGTGGGACGAGCGCATCCTCTGGAGGTCCCAATCCTAGATATGCTAATTCATGCATCAAATTTCTCTCAATTTTATAAATAAAATTATTAGTCAAACATATTATTTCTAATTTTTAAATGTGAAATTATTTATCGTCTGTGTTATATAGACTTTAGTCTAAAATTAGAAAGACAGTTCAAAAATGACAGCTTCTAAGGTCAAATCTGTGGACTGGTTTCGGGGGGCGAAGGGTTCAAGCTGAACCTACCTGAGCTCGCTCGCTGCCGACGCCTGTCTCTGGTACAATCTTTTTGGTGCTTATGGAACCTTTTTTGTCCGGTGGGCTCAAATCAGCAATAATAACCTTTATTCTTACACCTTATTTGCATGAAATATCACATCAGGATCTTAATTTGCTTGACAATAACACTTTCGACTTTTTGCCATGATTATTTCAAGCATTGAAGTGGTCGACTTCGCCCACTATAAAAGTAAACGACGGAACATATCGTGTAGGTTCGATACGATGTAGGCTCAATTGCCTCAGTGGTTAAGGCAAATAAACCAAACTTTATATTGATTAAATATTACACTTTATAAATGTTTGGATACACTATTTCAAATATACTTTTATTGAATAATGAAAAATAAAATTATTTACATATGTCAATGTTATTCAGTTTATGTTAACATATATATGTATATATTTTTAAAATATTATTTGCTTAATTTTTATAAAAAAATATTTTATTATATTTTCAATGTTTGACCTTTCTTGTCAATTAAACATGATTTTCTGAAGAGTAAGATGAATACAAATAATGGTTTACCTATTTGCAAAGAAAGAAAGAAGAAAACCTATACGTTCTGGGTAAGTTGAGTCGTGAATAATGGGTTTGTATTTTGGTCGAGACCTCTGCCTCTTACAGCCCATAATCTGTTATTGAATATTGGTCCTTGTAATTTGGTAATGACTGTTACGGTTTAAAGATACACGCATGGGCTTTCTTTTTAAATTAATTTTTCCCTTAAAACTCTAATTCCTGTGTCACATTCAAAACTCATTGAATTTGAGGTAAAGCACACAAATGATCCCATGACTATAGGATATTATTTTATTAAGTATGTCGATTATTAAAAATTATAAAATGGTCATCTGTCTATTCATTATTTTCAAACCGATCCCTTTTTATTAAAAAATTAACGACAATTTGAGTTGAACGTTAACCTACTATCTAAGATATGATCAAATCTAATCTCAAAATCTCAAACGGCTATCATATTTCAGTCAGCATGTTAACGTTAAGCTCAGACAACCATTAATTTTTATTGAAAAAGGACAAGTTTGGAACATAATAAATAGTCGGGTGACCACTTTGTAACTTTCAATAGTCGAGGGACTCAAAAAAGTAACTTCCTATAGTTGGAGGACCATGTTATAATTTTTAATAATTAGGGGACTCAACAAAACTGTATTATAGTCTAGGGACCATTTGCGTACTTTACCCTTGAATTTACATCAAGTTTAGATTTTAGAGTCGTTCAACGGTTAATAAGCTTTTTTTTTGGATAAGTTAATAAGCTTTTTGAGCGCTGATTCCAAGCAGCAATTTTCATTGAAACACCAAACCAATCAAAAGAAAAATAAACATACAGAGAATGTCATCAAATTGCAAGCAGCTCACAGATTAAATAAACCTGATGAAACCAAAACAAACATGAATTGGTTAAAAATCCTCAACCCATCAGTTTTGTCCTTGAAACAAGATTAGAACCTAGTCAAGATGATGATTCAAGGGCGTGTACAGTGAGCTTTGCACATATGTCGGCAATCATAGACGCAAGGTCCATCACAATGCAGGGGGCAATCCAACCTCAGGCCTCTGCACCTTGTTCTAACCATGCACTCAGCAAACTCTCCTATCCTATAATCCTCGTTGAAAACTCTCTTCTTATGCGCTTCATTTCCCTCAATCATGCCTTTATCTCTTCCTCTTCCTTTGCCTGGTTTTTTCCCTCCACATCCCCAATTATACCAATCTCCTCCTCCTCCTCCCCATCCCCATCCCCATCCTCATCCCCCCCCCCCTCCCCCTCTCCCTCCACCCCATCCCCAACCAAAATTACCACCACCTCCGCCCCCGCCACCACCACCACCAGCACCAGCACCAGCACCACCACCTCCCCCTCCACCTCCACCTCCTTTATTCTTCTTGTTGTTGAGCTCAAATTCAGTGGAACTTGTATTGCCTACTTCAACATTGTCTTTTCCTGGGGGAAAGTTGAGATGAAGCGAGCGTGGGGAAGAGTTGGTATTGGCTTGAGGTTTAGCTGCGGTGACATTCACCAACTCATCACCTCTCAGCCTATCAACTGCCACTGCAACAAAAAGGACAACCCAAAAACCTTTTACAAATGTCCTCATCCTTTGATCTCTACTAAAATGAAAGTGTTGCCTAAACGTGCCTGAACTATATATATATATATATACTCAGGTTTACATTACAGGTACATTTGGTCCCACTTGACCCCAGATCCAAAGAAAACCCAAAACAACCAATTGTTATTGTTTTCTTCCAAAACAATGATGAACTTTGAGTTGCCTTCGGATGCACTTTGTCCCCACTTGCAACAGCAAATTGCAATGTGAGTAGCACATGCCGGAAGCCTCAGAACTTACTTCGCCCACTTGCATCTGTGCCACTCTGAGAATTAATAGATATAATTAGAGTAATATCACAGTATCCTAACTCTTGGTTATTTAATTATTATTAGAGTAATGAGCGCTTGTTTGAGCTATGTGTTTATCGGTTTTGTTCAGTTCTTTGGATGGATGAAAAGACATTGAATAAGCATGTTTACTAAGTTCCGATTGTTATTTTTTTGTATATAGTGGCACCAATCCTTTGAGGAAAATGTGTTCATTGCAGTGATTGCCTATCGAAAAGTTTTTCAGCTTTTGTTTTGCAAATCCAATGATCACAAACCAACTTTTTGATGAAAAAGTGAGCAGAGTGGATCTTTGGTGCTATAGAACAAGGCAACCAAATAGCAACAACTAGCCTGTTCAAGTTTTTCCTTCAAATTACACCATAACAAGAGCAATTTAGGAGAATATTATAAAATTTTGGCAAATTTTATCATCTCCTTACCATATAAATTGTGGTAAGTTTCGGAGCTTGCTTCGCCCTGAAGTTTGGGAATTGTAAATGTTAGAAGAGCAAAGGAGCAGTCGAATATAACGGTTGTGGGGATACCATGCTCTTGCTTGTAAATACGTATTTCTTGTAAGGTACATAACAAACTGATTTCAGAGCAGTGGTACCATAATGCCTCCCACTTCTGTGAGAAACAAAAAATATTAAAAAAATGATTTGGCAAGCACTAATTGAGATTCAGGCTCAAGTTTTCTACTGTTTTTTTAACCACCATCTATGTAGTATTGTCCTAACTCCTAAAATGGATTTGCTTTGCTTGATTCTCGGACAAATTGGAAACGATGAGACGAGAGACAAACATGATTGAACAAAGAGCAAGTTGGGAGACCACTCAAAGTGTCAGGATATATATATTTTTATATATATATAAAGTGGATTAGTTAATCAATTCTTTTTTCTTTCCATTTGATTTGGGCTGAAGCCTGAACTATGCTTATTTGCTATGGGGTTGGACCGGATAATCCTGAAAATGGGAAAATAGTAGTCCTGACATATCAAACTGTCTCAAGATTTTTTCTGTCATTCAAACATATGAAGAGTAGACCTCTAGCTGCATCAACCTGTTAATCGATGAAGATTCATTATACTTGACATCTTAAGATTGAACTCTTAATCTTGCCTGTCCTAAGTTCTCGGCACAAGTTTGGTTAGTGGAATTATGTAACATCCTCAATATCGGGTTAGTGACCAAACTGAAATATTTTAGAATTTGTTGGTCAAAGTAAAATAGTTGAATAGTTAAATGATTTAATTGGGGATATTTCCTGAAAGTTGTTAGTAATTATCCAAAGAATTAAAGGGCAAAATGGTCATTTGTCATGAAAGATATTTTTATCCCCTTTAATAGGGGATAAAAACGTGGGAAGATGAAAACATTTCATATTCTTCTTCCTTTCTTTTTCTCCAACCGTGGAGGCTAGGCAAAGGTAAGAGTTTTCTATTTTATTGATTATTTCTTGAATTAAAGGTTGGGTTTTGTTCATTAGATGATAATTAAGCTTAAGGAAATCTCAATTTGTTCTAAAACAACAAGATGAAAGGTATAGGAGAGATTAAAGATTTTGAGTTCTTGAATGAAATCTTGAAATAGAGTTGATAAGTTGAATTTTAAGTTGAATTTGACTTGTCTTCTATGAGAATAAGAAGATAGAAGCGTTAGAATTAAGTTTGGATAACATGGAAAATTTGGTATGATTATTGATTTCTATATGGAGAATAGAATTTTAAGGTTTAAGATGAAATAAATGGATATAAATTAGTTTAAGTATGTATATTTGAGTTAAGAATCTGAAAGGGAATGAAACATGAAGAATTTAAGTTGATATAGTGAATTTTCGGGCATGAACAATGATTTTCTGGGCTTAAACGAAAATTCCAGATTGTACAGGGGGTACAGATTCTCCCCTTGGGGGTATCGATTCCCCCGTAAATAAAAAATGGAATTTTGGTTCATTAAACCGGCTTAAGTTATCAACATCAAGTTTAAGGTTTAGGCTTCTGATAGTTGTTTTGAAATGTTATATTTATGTAGATATTGAGCCTAAACAAGTTCCGGAATAATCAAAGGATTATGATTGAATCAAAGCAATGCTAAGGTGAGTGCAATTTAATTATGCTTATGTTATAGAATGAACATTGGCTTGCGATGAGCCAGTGATGGAGTTATTATGGTAAGAAGTAACTCTTAAAATGTTATTGTATGTTACATGAGTTATATGATTATATGTATATGTGATATGTTTAACATGATGTTCTATGCGTTGTATGATATATATATATATATATATATATATATATATATATATATGTGTGTGTGTGTGTGTGTGTGTGTGCTTACATAAGAACATGAGAAATAAAATAAGTTATGTGATAAGGATATAGAAAATGAAATGAGTGACATGAAATGTGTGTATGCTTGATTATATGAGTGAATATGTTATTGTAAGTACTAAATGGCTTATGTAAATAAATGAAAAGGTGAGACAAAATAACTAGTATTTACTAATAAGGTAAAATGAGATTATATGAACAAATACTTTTGACAGGGCACATAAGACTATATGTTTATCCTTTAATGTAATAAAGTTAAATAAGTCAAATGATATTGAAGTATGTGAATATAGTATATGTGATAAGTGATATATGTGAATCATATGATAACAAGAGATGATAATGATTTACATGATTTACTGAAGCTAAGTGACATATGATTATGAAATCATATGAAAAGTGAAATGTGCATGTGAAATGATATAAATGATATTGTCCATGTTATGTGATATGAGAGCTAGTGGTATAGTTGGCATGCCAAGAGTCGAGGGTTACAGTGGTCATTCGGGACAATACAGTGGTCCTTCGGGACAATGCAATGGTCCTATGGGACATAGTGGTCCTTCGGGACAAATTTCAGTGCCCCTAGTGGGAATTTTACGAGCTGTGGTGACAGCATTAGTGCACAACCTCAATGTACTCACATACCTTCAGTTCTCACCAGTGTACCATGGGCTAATAAAGAGACAATAACAAATACAATATATAAGATACATATGCTTGTGGTGATATGAAATGTATTGCATGAATTATAGGATGCTATGTATATTTCTTTGTGATAATGACATATGTGTTCCATGATCTATATAGAAATCCTTAGTATATGTTATATGATAAGAAGAATTAGTGACATGTGTACATGGGTTAAAAGGAGATAATAACAAATACACTATATATGATAGATATATTTGGTAATATGAAATATGTTATAGAAATTACATGATGATATGTTTATTCCTTGGTATAGTGATATATGTGTTGTATAATGAATATGGTAAGTAAAAGGGGTTAATGATAGTATTTGCAGATGTATGCCTTTTGTTTATATGAAATGGTATATGGTATATTATATGTTTATATGCCTCACTAAGTCATCGACTTAGCGTGTGATTGTTTCACGCGTAGGTTCCGAGAAGAGGAAGAATGATAAAAGTTAAGCAAGACATGTCAGTTTTTCTTACCAAAGATCAGATCAGAAAAGAAGCTAATAGTATATATTTTGTAATATTTATAGTGGTTGGCATGTAAACAATTGAATCCAATATGTTTTAATAGGTTTTGTAAAATAATATGATTGAACTTTATAATATTTTAAATGTGTATATAAAGGGAAATTTTATACGGATGAAACCTTAGATTTTTATAAATTTATACGTATTTACGAAAGTATTATAGCAGGGTATCGATTCTGTAGCAAGGGAATCGGTTCCCCTAAGACAATCTGGAAATTTTAACATTCGGGGTATTGTAGCAGATTATTGTTCATACGGTACTGTTCACTATTCATACGTATTTTAATGTTCATAAAACATATATTTTCTTAAATTTGTTATAACAAACATGATTCAACAATACATTATCGTATTTTCTTAAAAAGAGTTTTCAAATATCTTGATATTTTGTAAGAAACATCATATCGTGTTTTTGCCTTTATATTGTTTAATTATGTTTCCATTATTTTGTTTGATCTTTTGGTTCTTTCTCTCTCGTGTCCTGAAATGATATTCTTCCATGATTTGGCAACCATTGTGATAACCTTGTTTTGTCATCTTATCTTATAGGTGATGCTGCCACTTTAAGAAAATCTAGCATGACGTGAAGCATCACTCATTGTTGGTTTCCGAGCCTTCTGGGAAGGGAATCTAGTTACAATTGCACATCGTCTGCCATATTCTTCTTGAAATTTCTGTGCCTATGAGCAGTATAAGAAGGTCGATACTTGGATTCTAGACCTCATACTTACACCATACAATGCCATCTGTATTTTAGTAAATTTTAATGGCTGAAATAACCAAACTAGTAAAGTTAAAAGAGCAAAGAGTCATTCTGCCATATTAATACTAACAAGAAATGAATTTTATACCGTTTCACACCGAATCATTACTCTCAGCTCTAAAGTAAAATTAATGCATTTGGAAAGGGTGGCGGTAAATTAAAGGTAAAAAACAAAAAATGGTAAGTCCGCAACGGACATACAATTTTTAGTTCGTTGCTGGCGGTTATGTTTGAAAGGCCAATTCAGAGAGAGAAACTGTAGGGATGCAAAGGCCAATTGCCTTTGCATTGTAATGCGTCTTTTACTGACATTTATTCTTCCTCGTCTTCTTCTACTATCTTTCTCTTCCCAAAATCGATTTTCACACACAATTGCATTTGTGTTCGTTTTCCCTAATTCACCCAATTTGATGCATCTTCTGTAGCTGTTTTCCCAAAGTTTTCGATTTGGTTTATTGATCTCCATTTAATAACAAGGGGAAGAAGATCTTCAAAGTTTGATCTTTTATAGCATTTGTATTTTGCCTTTTCATTTCGGTTTCGGACATTTCATTTGTAAGTCCAACCGTTAGCTTGGATTGAAGCCCCAAGGTGAGACGATTGCCTGGTTCCGACAATAGAGAGGCCTTTACCTTGAAATAATAAGGTGAAAATTGTGAAGAGAAACAGAGGAAAAGAAAAGAAAAAAACAGGATCAATGACAATGAGCGAAGAGTTTCATTTCCAAGAACAAGGAGAGAAATTTTTTGTTTCGATTAGATTAAGACCATTGAATGATAAATCGAGCAATCGTATATGTGATTGGGAATGCATGAACAATGACACCATTGTTTTCAAGCATAATTTGCCCGAACGCGCCATGTTCCCTGCCGCCTACACATATGGCAAGCATTTCCATAATCATTTGCTTGTGTTTATTTCCCATTGAGAATCAAGATCGTCTTCTAACCATTGTGTTACCATTTCTTGTTTGTTAACTTTGTTGCAAATAAACAGAGTATTCGACAGTGACTGCGATACAGCTCTAGTGTACGAGGAAGGAGCCAAACATATTGCCCTCTCAGTACTCGATGGTATCAATTGTAAGTATTCTCGGTTCCTTGTCCATTTGTGTCTAACTATATAATCGAGTGAAAATGTTTTGTTTTTTGTTTTTTTCATCTTTTCTTCAGCAAGCATATTGCATACGGGCAAACAAGCAGTTGAAAAACATATACAATGAGGGGTATCATTGAATATGCAGTATCGGATATATATGACTACATAGAGAATGTAATGATAGACTCATATATATTATATTTGGAATCTGTCTATCTATATATATAAAAGAGATGACATTTCGTTTTGATCAATACTTTAGAATGAAGAAAGAGATTTTTTGGTGAAATTCTGTGCCATGGAAATATACAATGAAGCCGTGAGAGACCTCCTTAGACCTGATAGTTACCCACTAAGAGTGCTAGATGATCCAGAGGTAACCATTTCTCCTTTCTTTACGCTTTCTTGTCATAGCTCTGCATGAGCCTAACCTTTTACAACATCGTTTTACAGAGGGGAACGTTTGTGAAGAAATTTACTGAGGTGACTCTAAAAAACAGGGAACACCTTCACGAGCTCCTTTCAATCTCTGAAGGTGAAATATTTCTCAAACGGTCATGGACTTGCACTTGTATATGATTTCTTCGTTTTTTTTTCCCAGTAGATTGACATTATCAATGCACTTTGGTATGGATTTGCAGCTCAAAGGCAGATAGGAGAGACATCTTTGAATGAAACCAGCTCAAGATCTCATCAGATTTTGCGGCTGGTAGGCATGATTACTCGAGTAAACTTTATTTTATCAGAGTTTGGCCTAGTTTTACTTCTATGTTCAATGATGCAATCTTGCAGACAATTGAAAGCTCTGCCCGTGAATATGCTGGAGCTGGAAATTCAAGCATCCTTGAAGCTTGCGTGGTATGATACTATTAACTTACTGAAAGGGAATGCAGTTATATTACGTGGGAATATTGAATTCATGGAAAACATTATTCAAGATTGAATTAGTTAGTGACGAAAACCGTAACTTGGAAAATTGACATTGTTAGTCTTGTACAGAATTTTGTTGATTTAGCAGGAAGTGAGCGAGCTTCTCAGACCTTATCTTCTGGTACAAGATTGAAAGAAGGCTGCCATATAAACCGGAGTCTACTAACTCTTGGGACCGTGATTCGCAAATTAAGGTTGAACTATTCTCTTCATTTTTCAAGAGAACAAATATTGTAGCTTGGGATCATCTTCAGTTAAGGGCAATACTGCCGCAGTGCTGAGAGAGAAAGAGCAACTTTTTGGACAGATGATTAGACGAACTTCAGAAAGCTGTTTCACACTTGCCGTCGCATAAATGGCTCTCTTGTTAACCTGTTTTTTTTGTTTTGTTTTTGTTCTTTCTAATTTGAGTACCTACAGATGGCCAAAGAGATTGAAGTATTGACTTGGCAAAGTGATCTGGCTCAGTCGCGAGTTGAGAATTTGCTACTGTCAGTTAAAGAAGTTCAAATGTTAAAGCAACCATCAAATTCATCAGAAGTGGCCAAGGTTCCCTATATGGTTGATTCCAACAAACATAAGGATACAGTTGCACCTAGTGTGCCTAGTGCCGACAACAGGTGTCCTGCGCTTGCAGAGGAACCTGAAGAGGATTTTCTACTCGATGGCATGACCCCAAAGTTTATTGGACCTGATCCAAGAAAAGGTTGGGAGTTTTCTGAACAAATGGGTAAAAATTTTGAAGACAGCTGCAAGGAAGTTCAATGCGCTGAAATTGAAGACTCAAGAAACACAATGAACGAACAGGAAAAAAACTGATCATGACAGAGGTTCTTCCCAAGGAAACAGGAGCTGACGAAGGTGATGACTTCACTGATACTGAGAAAAAACAAGGAAAATTAGACATGATTACTACCACGAATGATAGCATCGTATCATCACAAGAAAAGGAAGATTCGCAGCCAAGTCCTGTTTATAGTGATCAAACTTACAAGGATTTGAAACAAAAAATTCAGGAACTGCAAAGGACAGTCAATTTTCTTGTCAATACTCAACATCAAGATCAGTCCCCTAGCTTCTCAGATACATGTAGCCCTCTTAGGAGCTTGAGCAGAAGTAAAAGCTGCAGGGCAGTTATCAGAACTGCACCATCTTCACCTTCCTTTGAGAAGGCAGCACATAAAAAAAGCATACCCCCTTCCAGTGGGGTTGAAAAGGATTTTTACCAAATGCTTTCTGAAGTTAAATATGACAACAGAAGCGAAAATATATCCAGAATACATTCTCGAGCTTCTTCTGTTAGTAGCGGCTCCGTGGATACATTAAGTCTTAAAGATTTAGATGTGGAAGACACTTTGAGTGCACTAATTTTCCTCCAAGACCGTGGAAGTCAATTAGCAAGGATCCTTTGGAAAGAGTTTCCATCTCTACTGATTTACCCGCCCATAGAAGTGAAATAACACAGCAGTCAGAAAAGCAAATTGATAACAAGATGGTAAGAAGATGAACCAACCTCCTTCCTCTTTTATGTTATTCATATCAGCTTTTATAGTTTCATATTGCGTGAGAATGAGTGCATGACATTGAAAAAGTTTTGATAACTATCTTCCTGCTTGGTAGATAAGGTTATTCCTAAGATCGCTATCCTCTTCCCCGGTGTCAGAATGAACTTTAACGCTAATGATAACTGGCAACTAACATATTTCCTTTTCCATGGAATGTTTATCGACGAGATAATAAAGGCGGACTCAGAATTTGAGAATCAGAGAAAGAAAGTTGAACTTTGGGATGCATGCCGTGTATCAATAATCCACAGAAGCTATTTCATCCAGCTTTTCAAAGGCGATCCTTCTGATTGTTTGTATTTAGAGATAGAGCTCAGAAGATTGACGCTTCTAAAGGACTCGTCAGATATAGCTTCCAGGTAAATTTAAATTTTGGACCCAATTGAACATAAACTAATTACTTTTATTCGATTCATCTTCAATGCAATGCAAACTGCGGCTAGAGATATTTTATTCTCTCTTTCCGGTGACAGTGAGAAGGAACTGATTCGAGAGAGGTTGACGTTGAGCAAGCAAATACGGTATAAGTGGTCAAGAAAGCAGAGAGAGGAAGTCTATAAGAAGTGGGGAATTGATTTGAACACAAAGCAGAGGAGCATACAGTTGGTACACCTTGTATGGACAGACCCCAAGGACATTGTCCATGTGAAGAAGAGTGCTGCTCTTGTTGCCGAGGTGTTAAGGACTTGTGGAACCAAGTCAAGCCCCCAACGAGGGAGTTGGGGTTCTGCATGTTGCCTCGATTTTTATCCCGAAGATCTCACAGCTGGAGCCTGGAGGCTCAGCTTTTCTTCTCTCTTTTAGAAGTTGTTGAAGATAGAGTGAATTAATCAAACTCCCGAGTCCTGATTGTAAATTCAAAAGGTGTATAAAGTTTAATCAGACTTTAGTCGCAGATTCATTTTGATTCTTTCTTTGCTCATTGAATTTGTGTAACAAGCACATAATAATGAAATGCAGGAAAATCTTTCCAAAATATCATGGTTTCTTTCCCAACTTGCACCATTTTTTTATGTCCAACCAGAGGCGTAGATATGGCTTACCAAACCTGAATAATTAAACAAAAACCCAACAAGAGGTTGACTCAACTCTTTTAAGTTGAAGCATGACTGGAAAATGCAATGCTCTGTTTTATCTCAAACAATATAATAACAATAGCTGCGGGAAAAAAAGGAGATGCTGGTATCCACATTGGAACTTTCAGGTTTTTTATGCTTTACATTATTACCTAAGATTTGTAAACAGATCCCTCAGTGATTTTCCAGCCCGACTTGGAACAAGACATCTCATATCTTGTGGTGTAGGATTGTAGGTTAGAGGCGTTGTTCTCTGGATGATGAACATCAGTCAAGAAGGTGGACTCTTCCAGAGTTGCTTCGACTACAGCTCGTTGCCCATCCAGTGAAAGAGTGACACTGTCAATGGTCATGTTCATTAGACTATATTCATATATCCAACCAAGCTGAGCAATTTCGGCTGCACGATCCGTCCATGTCTTCAACATTTGACCATCCAGAACCTGGAAGTTTTCTCAGTGTTAGGAAAAACTTGAAGGCACACAGTCCTAATGAAGCCTTGAAAAGTCCTTGAAAGTTATCTACTATTTTAGCTGAATCACGCAAATTAACACTCATAAAACTCTACATGGCCAACTATTCCAAAATGAAGAAAGTCCAATTTTAGGGCAGATTTCAAGATTTATATTTGTGGAACTACCAGAAAAGAAAATGAAAACAATAGCATATTACCTCTGGCAATTTATCAAGACGGTGATCAGGTCCAAACGCCTCAGATTTAATGTTTTGCCACTTGCGAACAATGCCTTCTGCAATTCTTGCATCCATTCTAGGTAGTTCTTGCAAAGAATTTTCATCTATTAACCCTGCAAAGTTGAAATCAGTTTTGAGCACCAATAAACATGGAAAACAGGACAACCTTGGACGATTTGACAAACTCACCGTGTCTTACTTGTTTAGAGGGGAAAACAATCCTCTGTAACCTACCAACTTTTAACAGTAAAATAGAAAACAGGTGCGGTGTAGCCATACAAATAACATGGCTAAATCTAAAAGATCCATAATTAACAACAACAAAGTCCTAAGGTACTCTAGAAAAAACTTCAAGCATTGGAAATAATGCTACATTAGGTTGACTATTCACTTCTTTACCTATGTATTATCAAGCCATACCTGCATTGACAACATCAGTCGCCGCTGGACTGATTTCTTTATCATTCACTGATAAACTAGATCTGCCAGGTAAAAGTTTCAAGCCAACCAACGTCATAACTCCAATTACCACACCAGCAGACATGATCTTGATACTAGCATCTTTAATTTTGTCAGTTATTGTTTCTTCTTTTTCGTACATTTCTTCCAAACTACTTATCCCAGGAACCTCAGCTAGCATGGCAGAATCCTTTTGATCAGGTTTTCCCAGAGTCTCATCATTTTCAACAGGAAAAAAGTTCATATCACCATCTAATTGATGTCTTACACTCTCTTCTGAGCGATGAAGAGGAAACACCTTTTGCAATGCCTGAATTGCACTAGCCTTACATGATCAAGAACTGCAGTAGCCTCTGCGCCTATCCTCACTATAGCTGCCGCTGCAGCTAAGGGTGAACCACCTGCTCCCTCAAGCCTTTCTAAATATCTCAGGACAGTAGGATCATCATAATAATCTCCAAGCTTGAATTGTTTGTATTTGGTGTCTCTAAATCTGGGAAAAACCACCTCCATTAGCCATGCCTCCAACAGTTTGCAAAGCCCAGGAAGATCTCTGTCGTCATCATCCTTTGAATTTTCCAAGACAAAATCTACAATAGATGGATTTCTATAAGGGGAGCTATCATTGTCTAATCCCAACCACAAGTGGCACTCATCAAGCTCTCCCACAAGTAATGAACAGAGACCCCTCTCCAAAGCAAAGTCTATCTCACGGTTTCCAATGGGTATAGGGAGAGACACTGTTCTCCAGAGTTGTTACCTTAGTCTGCTGGAGCTGCTGGAAGAGGTTATCAGCATCTCTAATGAGATGAGGTTTCTTGTTTAGAAATGCTTGAGCAACAAGTGCAAGTGCTACTCCATAAACTTCAAAACTTTCTGCAGGAATATTGCTTGGAGTGGCAGCAAATAGATCAACCTGTTGATAGAAAAAGGACTTAAAGCTAAAGAGAAACTAAGAAACCGCTAAGAAAGCCTACCAGGCAAAATGAATGATAGAAAAAGGACTTAAATCAGGAAAATGTTCGGGTGGAGGAATCAGGTGCCCTTCATCAGGCAGTTCTGGATGTTTCAGAAACAGGTAATGTTTTATTTCAGAGAGGATACTCCACTCCACAAGCAGGGTTCTTGCCTAGCAGGAGATGTTCTTCATCCCCTCCTTTAATTCATAGTCGTCCGGTATATGCTGCAACCATTTTCTGCGATAGAGTTTACAGCAGGCTAAGGAAGAAGAGTCAAAGAGGCGATTCAGAGGGTTTTTCTGCAGATGACTATCCATTAGAGAATGAGGAATTGGACTTAACCTGGCGGATTAGCAAAATGTTAGGTGTTAATTTTAAGGGGGGGAAGTCCGCCTTTGTTGAGAAGTTTTCGGAGGTTAATCCGAATAGGCGTGAGGAGGGTGGGATTTAATCCTACTTTTCTTCTGAAGGTATTAGTTTTTTTCTTAGTAATGGTAGGTGTTACTTGTGTCACTTGGAATGTTAGGGGATTAGGAAGGAAGGAGAAGGCTAGGGCAGTGAAGAAGGTAGTGTTGAATAAGAAACCTTCATTTCTTTTTCTGCAAGAAACGAAATTGGAGGTGGTTAATCTATCTTTGAGAAGGAAGTTGGGGTGTAATTACCTTGGTGGTTTTGCTGAGTCTCCAGCAGAGGGAGCTTCAGGAGGAATTGACTTTATGGGATGAGAATTGGTTTTCTCCTCAGCTGTTGAAAATTTCTTCTAGGTTTCTCCTCAGCTTTATTTCTTCAGTGGACTGTCCACTCTGTGTAGCTGGTGATTTTAATGCTCATTTAGCTCAAGATGAGAAAATGGGAAAATCAGTTTCTGTATTTTCAACCAGTCTGTTTAGGGACTTTCTGTTTCAAGCTAATCTATTGGATTTACCATTGGTTGGAGGGAGTTTCACATGGGGTAACAATAGGGAAGATCCTTCGTTTGTGAGACGGATAGGTTTCTAGTTTCGAACAATTTTCTAAGTCTTTTCCCAGACATTGTTCAAATACTTTTACCAAAATCTCTCTCGGATCATAAAGCAGTGGCGTTGGAATCCAACAAGTTAAATTGGGGTCCGAAACCGTTTAGACTATTCAATTACATCATGGATGAGGAGGGCTTTAAAGATGCTGTTGAATCGAAAATTTCAGACTTGAAGAGGAGGAAGAGGCCGAGCATTGAAGTGCTGCTTAGAGAAACAAAGAGTAAGATCAAAAGATGGTCTAACGAGTGCAGAATGCAGTTACCTAAATTAATTGACAGCAAGGAGAGGTTAATTTCGATCCAAGAAGAACAAATTCAACAAAGGAATCCAATGGTATCAATGATGGATATTTCAACAGAAAAAGAGATTTATGGTCATTGTACAAAAAGGAGGAATTAGTTTGGTTCCAATAATCTAGGGCGATTTGGATCAAGGATGGAGATCGTAATTCGAGGTACTTTCATCAACGTGCTGCGAATAGAGGGAGGGTCAATGCTCTTAATACTTTGGATGTGAGAGGAAATTTGATGAAGGATCCTAGAAAGATAAAATCGATCATTTTCGATTTTTTCAAGGATGCTTACAATTTCAAGCCGACGGTTGCGGTTGAGAAGCTTGAACTGGATTTTAACAGGCTATCGGAGGATCAAGGAGCACTTCTTGAAAGGAATTTCTCTGAGGAGGAAATTTGGGTGGCAATACAGTATTCGGATAGCAACAAAGCTCCGGGTCCGGATGGATTGAATATGGGCTTTTTAAAGAAATTTTGGCCGGTTTTGAAAGGAGATATCCAAAAGTTTTTCAAAGATTTCTATGATGGGAAGAAGTTTGGAAAAGGTGTGAACCATTCCTTCATTACTTTAATTCCAAAGAAGTCGAATCCGGTTGGTATTGAGGACAATATACCAATCAGCTTGGTAGGGGGATTATACAAAATTCTGTCTAAAGTTTTGTCAAAAAGGCTAAGAATGTGCATAGGAGGGTTGATTGGTCATTCTCAATTTGCTTTCATCCCGGGTCGACAAATTTGTGATTGCTCGTTAATAGCTAATGAAGCCATTGATTATTGGAGGAGGAAAGGTAGGGAAGGTATAGTGTTTAAAGTGGACTTTAAGAGAGCTTATGATACCATGGATTGAGATATCTTAATTAAAATTATGGAGTGTGTGGGGTTTGGACAAAGATGGAGGTCTTGGATTTTTAAGTGTTTAAATACAACTTCTATTTCAGTTCTTGTTAATGGTTCTCCTACAGAAAGTTTTAAAGTTCTAGGGGGCTTAGACAAGGGTGTTCTTTATCACCGCTACTGTTTAATTTAGTGGGTGAATTTCTGAATCTTCTGCTTTCTAAAGCAGTAGTGTTGGGATTGTTCGAAGGTTTTCAGATAGGCTGTGATTTTTCTTCGGTTTTGCTTTCTCATCTACAGTTTGCCGATGACTTGATAATTTTCTGCAAAGCCTCTAAAGGTCAATTGGAAAATCTGAAACGGGTTTTGATTGTTTTTGAGATGTGTACAGGGCTGCAGCTGAATTTGTTAAAGAGCAGGATTTTCGGCATTAATTTACAAGACTCAATTGTCGGGGATTGGGCTAACTCTATAGGCTGCTCACGAGGCTCTTTTCCAGCAGAGTATTTGGGTTTACCCTTGGGAGCTAGGAGGAATTCAATTCAGCTTTGGGATCCGGTTGTGAATAAGTTCTACAAGAAACTTGTAGGCTGGAAATCAGGTTCATTATCCATTGCAGGAAGGGTTGTTTTGTTAAAATCAGTCCTGAATGCTCTTCCTAATTATTATATGTCGCTTTTCAAAATGTCAGTGGTTGTACGGGAAAAAATTGGAATCTTTAATGTCTAATTTTTTGTGGGGGTCATCGGCAGAGAAGAAACGGATCCATTGGGTCAACTGGAATATTGTTTGTAAGAATAAAGAATTTGGGGGACTGGGAATTTCAGATCTAAAGGTTAGGAATAGGGCTCTCTTGGGCAAATGGGTTTGGAAGTTTGGTAGTGAGAAGGAGTCATGGTGGAAGGAGACGATCTGTTCAAAGTATAACGTTGATAAGAGGTCTATTGTTTTTTATGCTAATTTGCCTATAAGTGCGTCTTGGATTTGGAATGGCATATTACAAAACTATCGGTTAAATGACACTTTTGGTATTTGTTTTCGAAATAACCTAGTGTTACAGGTTGGGAAAGGAGATTCAATTAGGTTTTGGCATGACGTATGGGCAAGTAAATATTCCTTGAAGTCTCAATTCTCAAGGATATTTGCTTTGTCGGTTAATAAGGATGAGGTTGTGGCTGAGTTTGGGAGTGTTAGTAATGGGGAGTGGGTGTGGGTTGTTCAGCTTAGGAGAGATTTAATGGACAGGGGATTTGATCGATGGCTGTAAATGATGGTTTTGTTGAATAATTTCCGTCCTAGTTTGATGGGTGAAGATTGCTATGCCTGGAAAGGGAGCGGGGATGGCGTGTTTTCGGTTCAGTCTTGTTCTAGAATTATTTCAAGATTATCCGAGCCAGATGTCTCCTGGGCGGAGATTGTGTGGAAGGGGTTAGTTCCACCTAAAGTGGAGGTTTTCCTTTGGCAAATTGTTCACCAGAAGTTGGCTGTCAAATCAGTTTTATTGAGCAGAGGTGTCTTAGGTATCGAAAATCCTAATTGTGTGTTCTGTGGAGGGGAATCTGAATCGGTGAGTCACTTATTCTTTTATTGTGTTCAGGTTTGGGAGATTTGGGTTAAATTCCTCCGGTTGTGGAATGTTTGTTCAGTGCTACCCAATAACCCTAAAGGTTTCTTGCTTTCATGGGTGGAATTAAGACCTAACTCGGTTATTTGGCAATTTATACCGGGAGCAGTTTTGTGGACTGTCTGGATTTGTAGAAATCAGATTGTGTTTCAGAATGGCAAGATGGATAAAGCTAATCTTTTCTTTTTGGTGAGGTATAGGGGGGCTTCGTGGTTCTTGGCTAATATAAGAGTATTTCTATTCAAATTGATAGCCTTGTGGGTGATTTAACATTAGCGGATGTGCATCGTTCACCTCCAAGGTACGGCTGCAAAATTTGAAGTGGTGTCCTCCTCCTACGGGTTATTTTAAGGTGAATGTTGATGGGGCAGTTACTTTTGATTGGAGAAGAAGTGGTATAGGAGGAATCCTAAAGGATGTTGATAACAAGAAGTTGGCTTCCTTTTCTAGAGCAACAGGTCCGTGCCCTCCGATTCAGGCAGAGATTTTCGCGATCAAAGCTGGGTTAGACTTATTTTTTGATTCAGTTTGGAGGGATAAGGGGTTTCTAATATTGGAAAGTGATTCTTTTCTTGCTTTAAAATGGATCAACAACCCGGATCTGTGCCCGGTTCTCTATGTTGATTTGATCAAAGAAATTCAGAAGACAGTGTTGCAGTTTAGTGTACTCTTAGGCATATTAACAGATGTATTAATGGGGAAGCTGACTGTTTAGCTAAATCTGGAATAGGATAGTGAGTGTTGAGGTTGTGGCTTGGTGAGTTTGGGGTTTCAGGGTTGGTGTAAGAAGGTTTTTGTTGTGTGTGTTTCGGTATGGTTGTACTTCCTATGTTTGGTAATAAACTAAGGGCACCCTTTTCCCCTTCCTTTGGTTATTGTGTTTCTCAACACAATAACTAAGAAGGGGGTTTTTAACGGGGCCTAATTCCTATAAAACAAATACCTGTTCAGCTGCTGTCATGCACAAGAAGGCCTCGTTCATAAAATCTTCACGGGTAAAACCTCCTGCAATTGCAGCAGCTCCTCCTCCACCAACAGCCCATAATATGTTACGTACACCATGAAGACCCTCCTCTCTCTTTGTCCGATGCTCATCATCAAGGGGTAAGGCTAGAAGTTCCAGAACACAAAGTGGGGCAATCTCCTCTATTGTCTCATCAATTTGCGACTGCAAATCTGGAGCAAGACTGCTGGCCCCTTCCTCCTATATTATCAGTACAAAGGATTTATCAAGTATCATCCAAGTGTAAGGAAAAAACTGGTTGATTGATGGATAACCATTCCATTTCATTAACCTCTGTCTGTATGTGGAATCATTACACTCTTATTTCAATATATGAGTTACCTCATTAAAATATTAGTACTAGAAAAAAAATCTACATATTTCTATCTTTTATTCATTGTTTGGCAATAGGCAAACTTTTGACTCGCTTTAGTAATAGTAAATCCACAAATTGACAATTAATCCAGACAGCTACACAATCAAACACTATTTTATCAATAGTGGAACACGATTTACAAATAGAAGTAGAAAGGTATGCTCAAGCACCTGCAACAGCTTCAAAGCCCTCTCAAGCACCTCACAACCACCGATAAAATCTGGTGGATTCAGAGCCATAGCATCCCTTGACAAGTCCACATAAGCAAGGGCCATTGCCAGAACGACATCCTGTTTAAATGCCTTGGGCAGCCTCTCTCTCAGCAAAGTCTCCCCAATTTGAAGCACCACTTCTGTCTCCCCTGCCTCTTGCAACACGCACAATGCTCCAGGAACCTAAATTCCTCACATTTTCTCAATAACCAAACCCAAATTTTTAAACGAAGAAAATGATAAAAAGCAATTACCTTTTCCCAGGGAACTTGAGTGATGATAGTGTCACGCTCATCGTCGACAAGACCTTGGTTGTAGTTTCGTCTAGAACCAGGATTAGATAGGTTTCACAGGCGGCAAGAAGAATCTGTCTTCGGCTAATTAAGGTGTCTTGACTGAAACCATATTGAGGCGGTTTGGAAACCCTTGCTTCATAGGCTCTTTTAATTCCATCTCCTAGAAAATGGGTCTCGGCTCCTAAAACCTGCATTTGAAAATGATAGTTTTTAGGAAAATGATAGTTTTTAGGAAACTGTAATTCCCAAAATCAACAAAATTTAAAGCGAACTGTTAGTGTCTAACTGACCTTATAGAAATCGAGGGGGATGGAAACGTGGCGCTCGGGAGGGGACGGGAGAGAAGGGGAGGGAAAGGGGGAGAAACAGTGGCGGTTGAGGAGGAGGAAGAGGAAGAATTATCGGTGGCAGGAAGAAATTGGAAGTCGGCAAGGAGGCGCTCGGCCCATTTACTGGCGGAGCAGACGACGGTGGTTGTAGGGTGGTGGAGTTTGGAGGGTTTTCGAGGCGGAGCATGTAGTTAAAGTAGGAGTGCACAGCCCGATGCTAATGTGCCTCAGAGATTCCATCTTTGAGAACCTGTGAGATGAATGAAAAAGAGGTTAACAGAATTCCTTTTGAGAGTATGATTGAATCGCCTACTAGTGTAAAGATCACTGAAGCAATATTCTTTTGAAACATTTACTCTCTCGTCCACTAAACGTGTTTTCTTTTTTTTTAATTATTTCATCAATAGTATTTGTATTTTTTATCTCTTTATGTCTTATTCTTTTATACTATCAAAATAAATATATTTAATCTATCAATTAATTTTAAGAATAATTTTATGATTTTACTTAATCAAATATATCTCATAAATTATGTGCCGTATAAATATAATATATAAATTATAAGACGAAGAGAATAATATTTTTAAATAAAAAACTACGTGGGCAATGCATTGTATTCTAGTTGGTCTAGATTTTCGGTTTTTCTCTCAAAAAGCCCAGGTTCAACTCCCGACAAATGAATATTTCTGGTTTAATTTTGGGTAAAGTGTACAAACAGAATGATCCAGTGCTTTAAAAAAATGACAGACAAAATGAAAATGATACTAATCAAATTAATCGAAAAAAATATTAGAATGATCGAAGTAAAAAAAAAATTATTATTGTATAGAAACCAAAATAGGTATAACGCTTTTTAAAATAGAAGTACAAAACTACTATATTTTCAATTAAAAAATTAATAGAAATATAAGAAATCCAGTACTTTTAATTATTTATTATAATGACATCAAATTATAAATTGATCCTTCATACCGTCCTGAGCATGCATACATTATAATAGGAGAGATGCAAATTAAGGCAAGAATCAACTATATCTATTATCCAAATTGTTTTTATAGTGTAAATGTTGATGTTTTTATTACATCAGTTTTAACTTCAAAAGTTATAATCACGGGATAGAAAGGGTACAGAGTACAGTACAAACTAGAGTCTCACAGTGGACATAGTAGACCTTGCCGCTGTCAAAGTATGTTTCTAGTGACATCCGAAAAGGTCAAACAGATTTCATGCTTTTCAATTTGGCCCTGTCAGTATGTCAAATTTTAACTTCGATGAAAATGTATTTTAACTGTGAATTTTCAGTCAGTGTTCCACTTAACCAGTAACCAAACTCAATCAGCAACCAAACACCGTAGGTATATATAAATGCATATCATACAAGTTACAGGCAAATAATGTTTTATTGACCCAAAGAACCAATGAAACTCGGTGATTGTGTTTATACATCTGTGTAAAGAAATCGAAACAAATTTCCTCCTATGCTGATATCAAACCTTCAGGAAAGGGTTCATCATCAGGGTGAGGTGAAAGAAATCTCCTACAGGCATATAACACAGCTGAATGGAATCCATCTCTATTTTCAAGGAACACAAAATGGCCAGCCTGCAGATAAAGGAAAAGAAAGATGAGCAGCCTGACAGGAAGGATAGCATTTTGGATTAACAACAGTATATTCAAGGTTCTAAAATACAAGCTCTCAGGCAGAAAAATAAAAATGTCTCTGGCAGATTGCCGCCCAAGTTATTTCTTATATATTGTAGAAGCAAACAGACCTTAGGAACCCTGATAACTTCACATGGGACCTTCATTTGCTTGCAAGCTGCTTGGGCTCCTTGGTAGTCCATCCAATCTTCAGTCCCATATATAAAAGTAGTTGGCACTTTCAACTCAGATGCACTGTTCACAAATATATACAAAAAAAAATGAAGTTATTCAATACCGTCTTCCAAACATCTGAAATCTTCATTGTTAGTAGATTGCAACACTGATCTAGACTCTAGCTAGTGGCTCATATGACTTCCATTTGAACTTATGAAATGTGCTCGAGGTTTGTAGAAGTGCTCTAGGTTTACGATCATAACATTCATCTGTTTTATTTTTTCTCATCAACGATTTAGTGTGGTCTAGGTTCGAAGAAGTGCACAAGCCAATTAGATGCTAAATGCATGTGCCCAAGGTTTGTATTAGTGCTTTTTATTGCAAGTTTTTCATAATCCTTCGCCACCAATGAGCCTTTGAACAGCATTATATAAAATGGCATGGGTTATATGACCCTTTACAGTTCACACCCAAGTGAAGCTTTATGATCATTACGTTCTTTTCTTTTCCACAGAGAAAAAAAGGTAGGCATAATTCTTGACCTTTAGTGATGCTTATTATTTGTGCATTCATGAACATATTTCCCAACCAGGAGAAAAATAGTGAATTGCTCTGTATGGTGTTTTCAAATCAAAGTGAGATATTGTACATTCCTAAGATTTAGACAGAATCTTGATTGATATAAACATATGCAGGTATTAGTATTAGGCTGTCTAATGAACCCAATTTAAAAACAGTAAACAAACACTTTAGCTGAACCAATAATGAGTAATAAAGCAGGGTGTCAAACCTATTTAAAAGGGGAGAACGAGCAAATGCTCCAAATGCAAATATATATTTCAAGCAGAGCTCTCCACTTGCTTTGGAAGCTGAGATATGGTACACATAATCTTCAACAACAAAGAACAGGGGAAAGCAGCCGTTATACATCTATTATTTGTTAATAGAAGAGCTATAGACAAAATAAAAAAATCCCACAATACCAGATAGAAGTCTAGACTCCTCCTCTGTAAATACACCTCCTACTGAATATCTGGGACTAAACCTAGCAGCTGTATACTTGCGTACAAGATCTGGACCCCAAGGACCTAATCCTCTGCATACATAATCATCCAATAAATGCTAAAAAGTAGTACATTAAACTACTTGATTAAAAATAAAATCAAAGGCAAGACAATTAATGGAAATAATATAAAATAAATTAAACAAATAGGAGTACGAGGACTTTGTCGGCAACATATAAGAACAAAGGAGACCTACAAATTTATCCGAATAACAGTTTAAGATAGAAGTAAACTACACGAAACATGTATGATTGAGAATAACATACATAAGAACCAATGAAAAGATACTGATTCTTCTCAATAGCAACAGGTTAGCAAGGCAATTCAGAGCAATGTTTAATTGCAAAGCTTGATTTGTGAGTTGGGCTAACAAAGTAGAACCAGAAAATTACAAACCTTATAATCTTCTGAGGAGTAAAATTAGATTCCCACAAATGACTCAAAATTACCCCCTTCCATGTTGCTCTGAATCGGTTTATGAACTCATATTTTTCTTCTGATCCTGATGAAAATCCAGCAGCCCCCACTAAAATTAAGTGTTGAACATGTTCAGGATGCTACAGGATTAACACAAGGGACATTAGAATAAAAAAATGTGGTATCAAACTACTTGTTGCATTCAAACATTTAAAGGCAATCACCTTGAGAGCATATTTAGCTGCAACATATCCTCCAAAAGAATGCCCAAGTAATATAAAGTTACTAAGATTTTTTTCTTTACGCCATTCCTCAAAAGAATCAATAAACCATGCCTCAGTTTCTGCATCATAACACAATATGTGTATCATACGTGTTTAATTAACTTTTAATGCATGAAGAGGGACGAGGTGATTATTACTTATTAGGATTCTGTTCACTGACCTTCAGTGCTTTTGCATGTAAAATCAGGCCTACTTGATCCACCCCAACTGGATAGAAAGGCGAAAAACGAATAAGAAAATATAACAGAATGTTGATATCAAGTGCATAAATACAAAATTGCAATAATGAGGACAAGAAGTATTTAAATTAGGACCTGATCGTAAAGCATAAACGAACTCATCAACTGAAAAACAAGCCGAACTCATCAACTGAAAAACATGCCAAACTCGTAGCCTTTAAGACAAAGGGAGCTTACCCAAGCTGATCAATAGCAATGACCTTGAAACGATTGGCGAGATAATCAAAATTCTTAAAGAAGAAACCTTGGGAAGCAGCGTATCCATGCACCATAACAAGCGTGGGGGATCCCTCCTTGCTATCAAAGGTAATTGTGTTTATGAACCTCGGCTCGTTACTCGATGAACGGAACCACCTAACTGTAGAGCCAGGCGGACCTGACCCTATATTCACTTGTTCTTGCACGTATGGAGTACTGAAATTTCAATAACCCATTCAAAATTATAAAAATCCTATCGGAGTTTCCACCCGAATCAAGACAATTAATTGAGATAATTAATCGAAACTATTATCAAACTATTCAAAGAAACTTGCAATTAAGTTCCGGCTTTTCCAAGCGTATATAAGCTCAAAATAAGAGAACCCTAACAAAGGTGAGAAGGATAGAAATCGTAGGTTTACTTACTTGACGAGAGAGAGAAGGCGTTTCTCGGAGGCGATGATGTGATCGGCGGAAGTGGGAATCCAACGGAGAACGGAGGGCCATAACGATCTGGATTTCGCTAGAATTGACGGAGATGACCGAAGCTCGGATTTACTGATTTCTTCAGCCATTTTTCTTATAATTAAGCTGGACCAACGATAGAGAGACTGGTTCATACGATATTTGATTTTTGCTTAACAATACAGCATTTTCTTTCGTTTTTATTTCCCAAAGCTTTGATTTTGACTATATGTTATCGAGAGCGGAATCATTCAAAACTGGTGGTGTTGAATTTGGTTTCCCTCAAACAAGGAATATATATAAAAGAGAGAGATGGAACAATTATATGTTTTCTCCGGCGACAGCGGTGACGTTAACGATGACGTTTAAGAATTCGTGAATCGTAATTGACTGACGAATATTTTATTTTTATTTGGAGTCAATGGGCCACGATTCTAGAATTGTTTGACGTCGATGTGGGCCGACTCTTTTTCGAAGAATACGGTGAGTGCAAGCAATAATTCTACAAGGCCTATAGAATGAAATTTTTCATTGAAACAAATAATTTATTTCTCTAATCTATCATCTGCAGATTTGTGGAAGGAGGGAAACTCCATGTACAAGAAACTTGGCGACCAAAACTAATGTACTCTAACCAGTAACACAAATGGAAAAATATAGTGAAGAATTCTTGGGGAAACACAATGAATCCAACCATACAAGCTCTGTTGCTCGGCTCTGGACTGGAGAATAATGTCAGTAAAATGAGAATCATCTCAACAAAAAGTTTTGCCCTTTGGCTGCTATGCATTTGCTCCACAAAATTTACAGTCACACTATCAATACACTATTAATTTTGTTATTAATCTATGGTGCTCGAATCGAATCTTCAAAAAATAACAACAATTCTTTTATCAGGGAATTCACTTGGTTCATACACACAAAGGCAACTTTATTGATCATGTTAAGAGGTGGAGAAAAACTGTATGCATTTTGAACCTTATGACATGTTAATGGGCTTCTTTGCTTTTTGATGTTCTAATGGGCTGGCGGAGTTGTTTGCTTAATGACTGGGTTGGACAACAAAAAGTGATATGTATCGTAATTATGGTTTATAAGTTTAAAATTAACCGAATTAATTATATATATTTTTATTTCAGAGTTCATTGAATGAAGACTGATGTTGTGATACAAACAATAATTGCAGCAACCTAATTATTGATTAATTCCATCTAATTAAAGTGGCCATAACTATCTGTAACAGTCAAGTTAGTTATAAGCACCGGTCATCCAGAGAATATGTACAAACTCATTGTTAGCACAGGTCTTTTAACCAAATGATGGTTGAATTAATACTTTTGTCTGGTCGTCTGGTCTCGTAAAAAGTTTCATATAAAAGCGCAGAGATCACTTAAAAGGGCGATGTAGACTCGGACGATTAATTAATTTACTGCATACCCCACAACTACAATAGTCTACAAATTTTGGGACCGCATCTCATAATTGGGGGTCCTAAAAGCCTACTTTGCTGTAGACATCTTTGTTTCAACTAAACACAATATTTCGTCGCTAATTAAATTAGGTCCTGTCTTAATATATGCCAGTTGTATTTGAATGGCCTGAGAGGAAACAAAGCTTAAAACTACCAAAACTCATGATCCAAACTATAAAAATATACTTCAAAAAAGATTAGAAAAACCCGCTGTCATGTTATTTACGTTAGTTTACTGTTGTTCATACGTAAACCATGCACATAATTAATGTCTTACGTCATGTGGTTTTCTGATTCAAAAGCTGAAAAGGCTAGTTAGATTATTAGTGGTTTTCTTAGGTCATGTGATTTTGTACACCAGCAGACAGGAATACCGATGTATGCTAAAGCTTGCCTACACTATACACGAGCTAGTAAGTACTGAGTAGTAATCATTAGCAGCAAGTTGAAACTAAGATATTAACAGTAATAAAGCCAAATTCCAAGCCTTCGACGTAATATATCCTCAAAACAAATAATAATGGAAAATCGAAGTAGCCAAACCGGAAAATGGAGGAAACTGTCGTTTTCACTAACCGACGCAAGCCTCCCCACGCGACGAACATGCGTGTGGGATCCTCCAAGTCTCATGGCTTCCATACCTCACGAGGCGTTTATAAAGAGCTCCAAAGAACCAGTCTTTGATATCACGGATACAGAGCCACCAGTTGTACTCAACCAAATATGTCAATCCCAAAATTCATTTTCTCAATCCTCATCTCCCATCTACTCTTTGCCTCACAGCAATGTCACCTTATTCTCACCTCTGCGGCCGATGGCGGCAGGTGGAAGCTTCTACAAAGTAGCATTGGGATCTCCGCCATGCACATGCAACTCCTTCGAAATGATCGTGTAGTTATCTTCGACAGAACCGATTTCGGAAAATCAAATCTGTCGTTGCCAAATGGGAAATGCCGCAATGACCCGACCGAGGCAGTTCTCAAAATAGATTGTTCGGCGCATTCGGTTGAATACGATGTTCCGTCTAATAAGTTCAGGGCTCTTATGGTCCAAACCGACGTTTGGTGCTCTTCTGGTGCTGTCACGTCTGATGGTAATTTAGTCCAAGCTGGTGGTTTCAACGATGGTGAACGTAGGGTCAGGATTTTTAGCCCATGCAGCAGCCGGGTCTGCGATTGGCAAGAGATACCAAATGGGTTGACAGCCAGAAGATGGTATGCCACCAGCCATATCTTGCCAGATGGAAGACAAATTATTGTCGGTGGTCGCAGACAATTTAACTACGAATTTATTCCTAAAAGTGCTGCCGCCAACACATTCTATTTGCCTTTCTTGTTAGAAACCAATGATTTCGGCGCAGAGAACAACCTTTACCCTTTTGTGTTCCTTAATGTCGATGGAAACTTGTTTATTTTTGCCAACAATCGAGCTATTTTGCTTGATTACGTGAAGCATAAAGTTGTGAAGACGTATCCGGAAATTCCAGGTGGCGATCCTAGAAGTTATCCAAGCACAGGTTCAGCTGCCTTGCTTCCATTGAAGAACTTGAAAACGACAGCTATCCAAGCTGAAGTTTTGATTTGTGGGGGTTCTCCTAAGGGATCTTTTTTCCTAGCCTCACGAGGTAATTTTATTAGAGCTTTGAACACTTGTGCCAGGATCGCAATAACCGACCCCAACCCACAGTGGATGATGGACACTATGCCTTTTGCTAGAGTTATGGGTGACATGATATTGCTCCCAAATGGCAATGTTTTACTCATCAACGGCGCAAGCTCCGGAACAGCAGGTTGGGAAATGGGTCGGAACCCGGTTCTGAGTCCAGTCTTGTATCAGCCTGATAACAAAATTGGGTCACGGTTCAAGACACAAAACCGACAACAATTCCTCGGATGTACCACTCCTCGGCGGTATTACTTCGTGATGGCAGAATTCTAGTTGGTGGAAGCAATCCTCACGCATTTTACAATTTTACAAGTGCATTTTTCCCAACTGAACTAAGCTTAGAGGCATTCTCTCCAGCATATTTGAACGCTGAGTTCAATAGTTTGCGACCGAAAATTGTTGACCCAAAGTCAATGTCTGGGCTCACATACAAAAAGGAAATAACGGTCCATGTAGTCATTACAGGTGAAGTAGCTGAAAGCTCGGTGTCGGTAACGATGGTGGCACCAACTTTTAATACACATTCATTCTCCATGAATCAGAGGCTGCTTGTACTATGCGATGAGAAAGTAACGGCTTTGGGAAACTCAGCGTACACCATTGAGGTGACGACCCCACGTTCGCGTAACCTTGCGCCAGCAGGCTTCTATCTGTTGTTCGTGGTCCATCAAGGTGTTCCAAGTCAAGGCATTTGGGTCAAGTTGCAGTAAAGAAAATGATAAGAAAGAAATTTAATATCCAAATTAAAGATTCGGGCTTTGTCGTGTAGGCTTTCTATCAGTACTGCTCTTCCCAGGTGTGACATAGTGTTGTTTTATTTTTCATATTTATATTTCAGCAATCTCTGCCCATTGCTTTTGTAGAACTAGGATGCGAGACAAGTGCATTTAAGTTGCAGGGATCAATAAAGAGGATATGTTTTAAACTCATTCTTCTGTTATTCTTATCCACCTTGCATTGCCTGAAGGCTGAAAATAGTCGAAGTTTTTTAAAATACTTAGCACAGCACTTTGCATGGCATCCAATGTACGCTTTTACGCTAATAGCAAATGTTTTTCGAAGAACAACCAAAAGGTAGCCTTTTCCTATAAATTGTACAAACAATGCAATAATCAGTCTAATCATTGATACTAATATTGGACCTAGATGGCTTATGAAGTGGTTCTTCGAGTTGGCATTAGCACAACGCCAAGAATGAACCGAGCCCACCTTCTTCAATCTATATCAGTATTATGAATCCAGCCACTATAAACACAATGGTGGGCTCTGTATATTTGTGTAAAAGCAACAGAACAATTATGAAATAAGGAATAGCAAGTTAAAGGAACCAAGTGAGATTGATGATAATTCTGTTGGATTTATGTAGAGAAAGGAAGCGAGAGAAGAAAGTATGTAGGAAGTGGGGACTATGAAAGTGATTGGAAACTCCAGAGTGATGTGGGATCGCTTTCTGTTAAAATTAAAGCAAAGAGGTACCAGCGAAGTAGATGTGAGAGTGTCAAGGAAGGCACATGGGAACGACGCTATCGTTGCGTCGACATGGGCCACATTGGCTTCTATTTGCGTACTCAAACGCAACACAACATGATGCAAAAGAGGAAATGTAACACCATCAACTCATACCCGACCCGGATATGAGCCAGGATGTCACATTGACTATCAAAGACAATATTCTAAAAAAATGATTAAAACAATTGGACTTATATAACTAAAATACGATAATATACATAGATTAATACAAGTTTATCAAAATACTCAGAGCATACACAACTTGATCATTTGATTACATGCCAACCTTCATTTACATAACAAAATAACCTACTGATTAAGTTGCTTCTGATCTGATAGTTGCAGGAGTAATGTTGTCCAGCTGCTTAACCTGTCTCGTCTACTTTCTCGGATCCTACGTGTGAAACACTCACACGCTAAGTCATCGACTTAGTGAGGCAATATAACAATAATAATAATAATAATAATAAGGAAATGTAATGAAAATGCCATAATGAGATGAAATGAACTGAAATCGTATACTTAATCAATGCAGTTTATATCACCATGTTCCTTACCTATAAGCATATTACATTAACATTCATGAATTCGTATTAATAAATTTATTGGCCCATGATACCATACTGA